TGGAGCCCACAGCTACAAATTTTAGGATGCTTACTGGAGATTTTACAAGGGAAAACTGAAAGCCAGCATCACCTGGACAGCACTGAACTGAAAATGAACTAGATATGGATCACTATAATGATGCAGAACGAGATGGTTGTGTATAAGAGTGAAAATGTGTAATGACATGAACTTGATGAAGAAAGAAATGTGTTTCATCACTCATGGACTCATGAATCCCTTCCACTAATAATGTAAAATAAAAAGGAAATACTATTTGTCATGATCCAGGCCTAACTACCAAGGTATTGCTCACGCTGCCCAAACTTTGGGGCCTCAAAGTTTTGTCCCCTTAGACTTTAACCCAACAGGCACCTCAACAGTTAAAGTCCAGAACCCACTTATATGGTCCCTAACATTCACCTCCATTCCGATACGGGATTTTCCTAAGCTAAGCTTCACGGCGAACCCCTTTCAAGTTCAACCGCCAATTGTTTGTGGGCTATTATAATTGAGTTTAATCAGGAAAAAAAAAGTTTCTCTACTCATGCCACTCCTCTCTGATCAGTTGTCAGTACCACATTTGAGTCTAACTACTCCTATATAAGAGCTTCTTTGTATTGAGTTTAATTATTAAAAAACAACTTAATCTTCTCATGCCTCTCCTCTCCGATCTATTGTCAATACCACCTAGCAGAATTAGAACTTAAAACAGAAAAGTGATGATTGTTCTCCTGGAGGCTCCTAATAAATGATGAATTTCAGACTTCCCACCCATGTCAGGCCAGTATCTATCCACGGTTTAGAAGAATACTTCAAAATGACATAAGTTACAGAAGAGTTTAAGAACATAAAGGCATACCATCCTGTTCAGTATCCTGAACCAAGTTCAAGCTAGTTGTCTTAGACTGCCCCATGAGGCTATAAACACAAACCTACACAAACGAAAAGTATCAGTAAGTTATGCACAGATGGTGTTACCAGTTTCTCAAAGATGCAGCCATCTGAAAACATGATAGATGTTACCTGGCCACATTGGTGACCAGTGGCAAGAGTTAAAACAGTGGAGGAGAAATCCAAAGCAGATATTGATGTTCTAGGACCAGTGTCTTGAATGCCCTCCACCTGGCCATCACACTTTGACATGTTATCTCTTGGAAAGTATCGACATGCCAATGAAACCAGAGACTATTTTTATGACTATATAGGTGAATATGAGAACACATCAAGGCAGTTGCTTATCAGTTAAGAGTCGAATAAATGCAAAATGCAAGGACCTGAGCTTCCAGAATAGCTATAAGTGAAAAGACTGGAAATGTTGCATTCCACAGACGGACAGATCCATCCAGATAGCCAGCAACAAATATTCTCTCCATTCCCCTGGGTCAACAAGTTTTTTGACCCAGGGGCACCCCCACCATTTAAGTTGTCTGATATTAGGGCAGCTATTCCTAAGCATTGTTGGGTCAAGAATCCATGGAAATCTATGAGTTATGTTGTGAGGGATGCTGCTATTGTATTTGGATTGGCAGCTGCGGCTGCTTATTTCAACAATTGGGCTGTTTGGCCTTTGTATTGGTTTGCTCAGAGTACTATGTTTTGGGCTCTCTTTGTTCTTGGTCATGATTGGTCATGCATCTTCTTGATTTTTCGTCAAAGTTTTGATTTTTATTGTTATTTGGAGCTTAATTTGGTGACCCCATTTTGGTTTTCTTTGTGAATTGACCCCATTTTGGTTTTCTTTGTGAATCAGTGGACATGGAAGTTTTTCAAATAACCACAAGTTGAATAGTGTCGTTGGACATATCCTTCATTCTTCAATTCTTGTTCCTTACCATGGATGGTTTGTCTCTTTTCTTGAAAATTATTTAGATTTTTAAGAAGATTATTGTATAATGAATGGTGTATTTGTGGTGATATTTTTTCAGGAGAATAAGTCATAGGACACATCATCAGAACCATGGACATGTTGAGAATGATGAGTCATGGCATCCTGTAAGTTTCAGCATTTTCCAAACACTATTTTAGTTGCTTGTTTCAACCTCTGATTTTTTGCTTTCTCAGATACCTGAGAAGATTTACAATAGTTTGGATCTTGCCACAAAGAAATTAAGGTTCACTCTACCCTTTCCCTTGTTGGCATACCCTTTCTATCTGGTGAGTACTTCATAGTATCTTTTATATCCATAATAAGTGTGAACTGGCAACAAAAAATGACATTTTCTTGAACTTGAGTTGGTAATTACAGTGGAGTAGAAGCCCTGGAAAGAAAGGGTCTCACTTTGATCCAAACAGTGATTTGTTTGTTCCAAGTGAGAAGAAAGATGTGATGACTTCAACTCTGTGTTGGACAGCAATGGCTGCATTGCTAGTGGGATTGTCCTTTGTGATGGGTCCTTTCCAAGTGCTTAAGCTCTATGGCATCCCCTATTGGGTTAGTCCATTTTTCAACCTTCCTTTCTTGACACTCATCCCCCCCCTTGCCTAACTTTTTGTTTGTTCTTATTATTTGGAATTCAATATTTTGAATGTAGGGCTTTGTCATGTGGCTTGACTTAGTTACCTACTTGCATCACCATGGTCATGATGATAAACTTCCTTGGTACAGAGGAGAGGTATACTTTTTATTGGAGTTAGATTTTACTATTAAAAATACTAGTTGATAGGCTGGAACTATGTTATTAACATATGTTCTGTCTTTAGAGATTCTTGATGCATAACTGGTCTAATCATGTCTTTGAGAAATATTAGCACTTAGCAGTATTATTTTATAAAGAAGCAGACTCCTACTTGCTTGGAACTGAGACGTAGTAATTATTATTTTATTAACAAAAAGTTGGGAGTTGACAATTTAGATGTATCAAACAGGAATGGAGTTATCTTAGAGGAGGGCTTACAACGCTTGATCGTGATTATGAATGGATCAACAACATCCACCATGACATAGGAACACATGTGATACATCATCTATTCCCTCAAATTCCACACTATCATTTGGTGGAAGCAGTAAGTATCACAATATATATTAAAATGAGTTTTAACTTATATACATCGACAGTATAAAGAAACTAGCTGCTCAATGCAATATGCGATGGTATTAACATGTGTTGATTACTTTTTGAATTTGCAGACTGAAGCTGCTAAGCCAGTGTTAGGGAAGTATTATAAGGAGCCAAAGAAGTCAGGGCCTCTACCATTTTACTTGTTGGGAGTTCTCATAAAGAGTATGAAGCAGGATCACTATGTGAGTGACACTGGTGATATAGTATATTATCAAACTGATCCCCAACTCTCAGGGTCTCAGAAATAGAATCCTATACTACAATTTAAAAGCAGGTGATTCTTTTTCACTAACACTATGGCCATTCAAGTTTGTAATCACAACTACAAAGTAAAGTTAGCTCCCATTAAAGGATGGAGAAGGCATATAAAGTCTGTAGATGAGCAGTTTCAATTGTTGCCATATTGTAATAATTGAGTGGAGAAAGAAATTGTCTTCAACGAAAATTGGGGAAAGTTGGGTGATAAGTTGGGGAAAGAAGAAGGAAACAACAAAGGAATGTCACTTTCAATAAAAAAAATTAATAACATTTTATATGTCGGACTAAACCCCTTAAGCACCTGTAGCATGTTAATTTTAGCAATAGTTGTTAATTGGTTGTTTTCTAGGTAGCCAATATCCACTCTCTATCATACAAGTCATGTATAAATAAGATAAGTTTCGCCCCCATATAGAAGTTGAAGTCTTTATATTAACACAAGTTTGATATGTCATGAGATATTAAAAAATAATTAAAGTTATATATAATGATACAACAATAACAACAACAACGACCCAGTATAATTCCACAAGTGGGGTTTGGGGAGGGTAATATGTACGCAGACCTTACCCCTACCCCGATGGGTAAAGAGGCTGTTTCCAGGAGACCCTCGGCTCATATAATGATAGTGTAACGATTTTTATACTATCAGTGCAGTTTATTAATCGTAATAGCAAGAAATTAGTACAAGACAGAGACTATTATATGCCACTACTTTAGTTACCTACTAACACACCGTGGCCAGGATGATAAACTTGTTACATATCCTCTTGGAGAATTTTGATTCTAATTAGATTATTTTGATTCTAATTAGATTCCGCTACTAAAGAATTATTTCACTATGATAAGACAGATATCTAACTGACAGGTCTGATTTCTTTTTATAGAAATAATAAAGTCAACCAAGTTTAGGAAATATGTTGTTGTCTTTGGAGGATCTCAATGCGCAACTAATTTAATGATAAGTATCAGCTGTATTGCTCCAACCGAGAGGTTGTGAGTTCAGTCTCCCCAAGAGCAAGGTGGGAAGTTCTTGGAGGGAAAGATGTCAGGAGTCTATTTTGGAAACAGTCTCTCTACCCTAGGATAGGGGTAAGGTCTGCGTACACACTACCCTCCCCAGACCCCACTAAGTGGGATTGGTTTGTCCAGAATAACTAATCTATTCACAAAGATTTTGAATTAAGTTGTATCAAACGTATAGTTATCAATTCAGGCTTACAACAGTTACAGATTGGGCTGTTAGGCAGGAGATACTTTATAGTAGCAACAACAAGACCCATTCACGCTTCAATAATCACATTGACAGGAAGTAATAAAGTAGCTAAAATGCCTCAGAGATTTGGCCAAGAAAGTATAGTATCTGTGTTAAGTATCACATATTTTTCTTTTGTGTTGGAAAAGATTTTATCACAATAACGGGACTAAATTCATTAAGACAAGCAAATTGAAAGTCATTTTCAATCCAACAATGTGCAATAGAATTTTACTTTATTAGCTGTCGTCAATCCATCTTCAGTCACGCTTATAGCCCATCAATTGAACTACACAAGGGAAGTTTCTTCTCCTAGTAACACATGAGAATAATTAGTGCAATAAATTACAAGAGGAACATTGCAGTTGATTTAAGAATCTGCGCTGGGGAATTTGCCTCAATATTTGCTACAACCGTACAGATTTCACTGCATTCATGAACGATAGTATCCGTGACACATCCTTTTGGATGCCGTCCTGTCCACATATGCCACTACTCACATCCACTCCATTGGGTTTAAGTGCAGAAAGAGCTTCACAAACATTCTCCGGGTTAATTCCTCCTGCCAAGAGCCACCCATGTTTGCTTCTAATGCGCGGCAGCTTAAACTGAACCCAGTTGAATCCTTTGCCACTGCAAAAGTGAGCTACTACTTAGTAAAGTATACAGAGAGCAAGTGAAAATTGGTAACCGATGATTTTTGCAGGAGTAAAATTCAGCTGCTTACACACTCATATCAATTGCATCATTCATCAGTTGTTCATATCAATTGCATCATTCATCAGTTGTCATCTATAGAAAGCACATAGAAAGCACTAAGACTTTGCTATGAATTCAACTTCTCAAAAATTGTCATTGTCCTCATTGCTATTATTCCTATTCTTGTTCTAACTACAATGTCACTGTTATAGCATGTTTGGCCAAGATTCTCCCCAATGCCAAGCTTTTTTTTTTTTTTTTTTTTTTGGGGGGGGGGGGGGGGGGGG